GAGGGGGGGAGAGGGAGAGGACAGTGAGGTTGACGAACACGATCGCGATGTAAATTGGACGAGGTTTATGAATGTTGGAAATAGGAATTTAATGGAATTCTACTAACGCCTGAAAAATGCCAAATGGTGCGTATGCGTGGGATGTTCGTCACCCGAAGCTTGGTTGGGCGTTAAGGGGGGGGATGCGAATGTGTTGGTTCCTACTCTCTCTCTCTCTCTCCTCCTCGTCCTCTTCTTCGTTTTTTGCTGCGAGGACTTCTCCTAGCTGCTCAGTGCACCCCGTTCCCATTGCCCTCCACCACAACTTCCCCTTTCCCCTCGACTAACCTAAAACTCTCCCTGACGGCAACACCCACTCTTCTAATCGCCTCGGTGATGTTCTCACTCGACGCGGCGCAGAACGTAGCGCGTAAGAATAGGGCCTCAGGAGACACGCTCTTGTCGGGGATGAACCAGGAGCCCTTCATCATGAGCGCATTGTGTTCGATGATGTTGAGGTAGAGCGTGTCTTCGATGTCGGTGATGGATCGGGAGGGGTACGAGGGGTGTTTGGTGTGGTCTATGCGGAGCCAGTGCTGTGAAGGGTTGTTAGATTGTGATTCGGAGAAAGGGCCGGACAAGGGGGGTAAGGTGAGAGATGAGATGAGAAGAGATGTGAGAATAGGGGCGATTCCAAGGTGAATTGGCGACCCCTGAATCCTGACGGTGGCGCCGGAGCTCCAGTGAATTGGCCGATTTTTCACGGGACTCCGACTCGAAGCCACTGCACCCCCTGCCCCTGACCAAGTCCAGAATATGGAGCAACTTCGCCACCCTTTCGAAATCACGAATCGAAGAGAGGAACTTACAAACATCCCCGCCATCGGCGGCACCCAGCTCACAACCTCCTTCGGCAGGTATTTCTCACACGCCTCTAAAATCACGCCCCTCCTCTTCGTATACTCCAACCGAATATGAATCAACCAATCCAAATACCCCTCATGCCCGAAATGCTCATCTAGCAACTTGAACAGCACAAGCTGCGAAATGCCCGACGGTCCCTGTGTCGACACATCCGCGTGCTTCGAGTACCGCGCTACGACCTGCTCGCTCGCCGTGATCCAGCCAACTCGCGAGCCTGGTGCAAGGACTTTGGAGAAGGAGTCTAGTCGCATGACGCGCCCGTCAACATCCATGGAGAGGAGACTGGGGACGAGAGATTTGAGGAATGCGTCGTGTGATGCTGGTGGTGGGACGTCTGGGGCGTTGGGGCCTGTGTAGGGCTGCATTTGCAGGAAGTAGTAGGGTTCATCCTCGAGGATGTACAGGTCGTGTTTCTGAGCTACGGCGTAGATGCCACGGCGACGAGCAGCTCCCTGGGTTGCTCCGGTCGGATTCTGGCCTGTTGGGACAGTGTAGACGAGGAAGGGCTTGCGAGCACCACGGGCGACGGGGTCCCAAGTGGAGAGGATATGATCGAGGGAGTGCGGGAGCATGCCCTCGGCGTCCATTGGAACACCCACGACGTTGACACCCATGGGAGCTGCGGTCTCGACGGCGGTCGCGAAGGTGTATTCTTCGGACAGGATGAGGTCGCCGCGCTCGGCGAACATGCGTAGGGCAATATCGAGCCCGGAGGTGCTGCCAATGGACATGGTGCACGTCCAGTCAGAGTACGGGGGGTTGTGCACCATCTCGGTGTGCTCAGTGACCCATCTTAGCAGTTGGGCGGAACCACGGCCCTGGCCATAGTTGAAGGCGGTTGCAATATCGAAGATGGACTTATCTTCTGCGAGGTCGTGTTTGCCAGCGTGCAGCACAACGCCGGATTCCTTGGTTTCCTGCTCGGAGAAGTGGCCAATGCGGGGGACTTTGATCTCGAGGGATTCGAAGGGGAAGTAGTCACTTGAGGGGAGTCCGCCGCCGAGACTGATGATGCCTGGTTTGCCTAGGTACTTTGCTGCTTGCTTCAATGAACTGCCCTCTCGAGAAGCGGATTCTTTGCTCAATCGGTCTGAATCAAGTCAGTGGCTGTATTCATGCCGCAGCCCCTCCCCCTCTCCTGGATTACTACTCACGATCCCAGTTCTTCGCACTTGGCTTGTGGCCATGCTTGTGATGGCGGAACGTCTTAGCATCTGCTGGAGCAGCCACTCCCCATTGGTTCTTCTCACTCTTCTTCCGTCGACCATAGATATCGTTGCTCTTAACATTCGCCTGCAGTGGATCCGGAAGCGTGACGCCTTCAGTATCTGTTACGGCCGTGACCTCGATGGCGGCAGGTGGCGTCATAGCAGGCTGTTCTTCCTCGTGGCTCAGACTTCAACTGCAATTGAGGCTTTTCGTGGAATGTGTCACTACGCCTCGCGGGGCAGGGTGTCGATTATGTAGCCAGAAAGCTAGCGCGGTGTGCTACGCCCTTCACGCTACACACTGCACGCCCTTCGCGTCGTTTGGGAAGGGATCTCGCTTGCTACTTATCAGTGCCTGCTCCCCGCCTGTCTTATCAATGATGTGGGGAAGGTGGTGGATCGGCGTGCGGCTGGGATGCTTCGTCTCTTTGTGGTCAGTGGCGGTGTGCCTTGCAGCATTCGAGGCAGCCAACGCGGGAAGGCCTGCTTTAGTATTCCGCTGGCCGGCTATTGGCGGGCCAGGCCAGACCAACTAGAGTTGCCCTGGTTTGGCCCAGCCGCCATGTTCGTTCCAAGGAAGAGGCTGGAGGATGCGCCCAGGGTTTGCTGGAATCTGACGCCTGTTCGCCTCGAACATCGTGGCCGTGGTGGGGTCCCGACGTCGGAGGATGAGAGTAGACGTCGAGTGGTACGCCATCAATCGCCTAGTGGGAGATCGTTTTCACGATAGGCTACAAACTGCCGGTTTGGGATTGATTGCTTCTTGGAAGACCGGAGAGCTACATGCAGGCAGGTACCGCGTGCTGTTTGGTGGTTTGGTGCTCATATTTACAAGGCGGGGTAGAGTATTCTATACGTAATTGACCGTAAGATCAGAGTTATATTTACCAAGTATATATCTCATAGGTCACGATCCTGCGCAAAAGACTGGACAAGACCACGAATCACCAATAGGACCAAACCACCTAGTCATAGAAACGCCGCCAAGTACCGCGCGGAAGCGTTGAGGTATTCTTCTCCCATCTACCATTGCACCGATTACTATTAACGCATCTGTCCATACTCTTCGAAAAACCTCGCTGCGCTGCGGTTCGCCTTTTGGCAGCCCTTTTAGGACAAGGAAAATGCCAAACCGGATGCAACATGCATGAAACACTTGCCCAATACCCCCATGATAATGCCATGATGCCCAGATTTTAGAACAGAAAACGATATGCGAGTGGGGACAGAGGAAGTAGAGCTAATATGCTGGAAATATGCAGACAGATTCCCCAGGCCCGACGATGCAAACCCCCTACATGACAATGCAGTCCTTATCCTTGTCGTTACCTGCCCTTTTGATTTTGCCTCCCTTTTCCGTGGTAGGAGGAAGACCCGATTCCCCTGATGCTGCCTGCCGGATGATGGCAAGGCGTTGTTTCGCTCGTTCGTCGCCATGGTCGGCGGCTTTGACATACCAAACGTTCGCCTCGAGGGCGTCGCGCCGGCAGCCAATGCCCATTTCTGTGAAGTAGCCGCATGCGTACTCTGCTTTTGGCAGTCCTAGAAACTGTTAGCGTTTGCTTTCCACTCTTGCCAGTGGGTCGTGCTGTGCTCACCATGCTCAGCAGCCTTCTTCGCCCATTCGTACGCTTCATTTTCGTCCTTTTCTAACACTGGCTCGGCGCCCACCATGTACCACGCGCACAAGTTCATCATAGCCTCCGGTATATCAGCTTGGGCTGCACAATTGTAGTAGTGCACGCTGAGTGCTGGGTCTTTTGGACAGCAAAGGAGACCATGCTCGTACGCCTCGCCAAGCTTCAAGGCTGCCTGAGGATGTCCAACTTCGGCCGCCTGAGTGAAGAGCTGCACCGCGTAAATCTCATCTTTGAAGATGTCCTCGCCGAATCCCGTCTCGTGCAACAATCCCAGCTCGTAAGGCGCAGTATTGTATTGGGTGTCTGCCGATTCCGCCGCACGCTTCAGCCACTTCAACCCCTCTCGGTACCGATTCACGAGACCCATATCGCCTGTCAAACACGCCTTGCCTAGTCTTGTTGCTGCTCCTGGATGGTTCTTCGATGCAGCTGCCCGGTAGAATTGCACGGCCTTGGCGTAGTCCTTGCGGCAGCCCCACCCGAACTCGTAGCACAGAGCAGCCCGATAGCCAGCTTCAGCGTGTCCGTGTTTGCTGGCAGCAATGAAAAGTGGAAATGCTCGGTCATAGTCAGGCTTGTCTTTGTTAAAGAGGCCCGACCCGTACCCGTCCCCAAGATAGTACTGCGCAAACGGATAACTCCGGTCGGCTAGCCGCTGGAGGATCTGTCGTGCCTCCCGAAGCATTTCAGCTGGACTGAGACCGTGGTCGTCAACCCCAGGGCCCGCGGTCCGGACCTCTTGGGCTACTTGCACCATAAATAGGGCAAACTCGTATTGGATGGCCAGGTCTTGGGTTTTCTTAACATTCGCCCGATACATGTCCAATGTTTTCTTAGTATCAAGGAGGGACGCATTTGAGCCGACTGACTGTTTCAGCATAGCGTTGCCGAAGTTGCCTGTGGGTGCCGCTTGTTGTGCATAGGGAATATTCAACAAATCAATGTAGGACGTTGGGCGACTTTCCGGCGACCTTCGATTGGCCGACTGTCCCCGAGCATAACTGATGGGCGACCCGTTCGGGGAGCCGCTTGCAGAGAGGCGCGGCGAGTGGCGACCCCGTGCGTTCAAATCCGCGCCAAGGGTGAAGGCTGAACTGGGTCTGGGGATTGTGGTGCGTGGTAGCAGCACGTCTGGCCTCTGGCTGTTCCGGTGCCCGCTGTTGTCGCTCGACGAAGCCTGGGAGGAAGAGCTCGGGGATTTCACCCGGTCAACTGGCTGCCTCAGCGAAAAAACAGGCACGGGGTTGGGCTGGTGATGGTATTGCAAAGGTGGGTAATTTTCTTGAGGCTCCTGGCCCTTAGAGCCGGGCGCGTGGAAGGATTCTTCTTCATCGCCGTTGGAAAGGCCGTCAAGAGGTACACTGTATACTGAATCCAGGTCGGCAACATGCGAATGCCGTGAATTATACGCCACGTTGTTCACGTTCAGCTGCCGAAACGGTATACTCTGGGTGACTGGGAACGCAATTCCCATGTCCGAGGTTCGTGATGGGTCTGTAGTGTAAGCTTCTCTTGAGGCGTTCCGAGAGTGTGGTCCAGAACTCGGAGATAACGAGGAGCCAGACTGTCTCGACGACCGGCCATCGCTCGCATCTCTTGAATAGTTCTCCCCTTTGTATGGCGACGCACCCTGCAGGACAATCGACGGCTGTTCCGGAGACCCTCCCACTGGCTTCCGCCGCAAACTCTGGGAGCGGCTGTCCGGACTCCCGTCATGCTGTTTCGCTGGACCCGTCGCTTGAGATGTGTAGATGTCAGGTATTTGAGGTACTGCGGGCAGAGCCCTGCTGTGTACTACCGGCGAGCTATCTGAGAAGCTCATGGTAGGGGATTACAGGCTGGAAAGCTGCTGGCTCAAGGCTGCGTTTGACTAGGCTGTATATTTCCTCAACGCTCCAGCCTCGGCAGCGCACTAGGGATTTGGTAGGTGGTTCGGTAGTTCGAGGAGGAAGAACGGTGGTGGTTAGGCTGCGTCCACATGTAGATGTCGACGAGCGTACGCAAAGTCCCCACCGTGGGGCACTGCAAGCTACAGATGGTCAGCGTGCTGCATTCACTTGCTTGTCAGGCTGCAGTATAAAGAGCGCGAAGGATGGTTGGGGAGGGGGCCGGGGATGTTTGAGGCAGGCTGGCGGTGCATCGCCCCGCAGTGAATGGCCGGGATGGCTCTGAAACGCACCTTGAAAGCTGGGTCGGTGAATGTGGAGGGAGGCCTTAAAAGAGCGTCTTGTATAAGAAGGGCCAAAGCTGGAGAGACCCTGGTGTTGAGCGGCGGAATTGGCGCTGGAGGCTTTGTGAGCACCCCACAGATGGCTTTTCTTTCTCGTACTACTAGTACGTTTGCGCGACGCCGGCGGGCTCGATCTTCGACAGGCCTGGATGCAGGGCTCCTGCTTAGGCAACTAGGTCCTAGGGGCTTCGTACTCCGCTGCTAATAAATGCGCGCCCCGTCTCCTATTTGCTCCCAGGCGTGACTCGGTGTGGGTTGCGGCGTTAAGCACGGCGTCACGGAAGCGGGCCCAACGAGGCAATTCAGCGCAACAGAAGTTCAGCGCGGCGGCAGCGCCTGGAAGACGAGCAGGTATGGGGCCAAGGGGGCAGAAGTGATACATGGGTGCATGGTGGGCTTGGGGCGTTTATACAGCGGTCTGCGGCACTTGAGACACTTTGCTGAGGGTCCGGATGAGGCAGTCGTGGCTTTTTGGGGCCGCTCTCAGTCAGAGACGAGGCCGACTGCTTCCGCGGTTGGTCTTGGTCACGGCTTGCACGCTGGGCAGAGTGAATAATAGGAGGGGGTGGGGGAGAGGCGGAATGCGGCAGCTGGATGTGTGCGGCAAAGAATGCTGGTGATTGGATCTTCACCAGCCCCCAGTTTTCGCTGCCCATCACCATCACCACGGCTGTTCTGACGACACCTCAGCTGTGCGCAGACAGCCGTCGAGGGCTGCAGCACGTCCTGCCACCTGCCTCTCGGTGTCGGCAGCGGTCGCCTCGCGGGCTGGGCTGGCGCGTTATGCGGTCTGATCTCGAGGCTCGGAGGTTAGCTGCGCTTTGCAACTCCAAGCGTCGACGTGCCAATAGCGGCGATGGTGGACGTCAGGCGGACGGGCTCGAGGCACGAGTGGGTAGAGTGGCTAGAGCGTGCTCCCAGCGATCTGGCTTGCACACGATGTAGGAAATTGCCCGTCTCGCTCCACGATCCGGCAGACTGTGAATCGCAAACGGCCCGGACGGTGCGCCCCAGCGAATGGCCGCCAGGCGCATAAGGAGCACGGCCTGCGCCAAGGGCTCTCCGCCATGGCGAATCTGGCTGGCGAGGCGTCTCTGGCGGTGTCTGGATCACGGCAGCCTCGTGGAGACGACAGGTGTCCTGCTGGGAGCCGCCGCTGTGGTGTTGCGGGCGCAGGTACGTGTGCCTGTATATACATCGGATCGAGTATAGAGGCTGGACACACATTCAGGGGCCGGGCGGATGCGACGGGAGCATTCACAATTCGTCGCGGCGTGACGTGATGTCTGTCGGTGGAAGCCGTGCGTGTGCGCCAGCTGCTCAGGGACCAAGAGACCTCGGACGCTTCATGCCCTCTCGCGACAGGGAGAGCCCGACTCTGGTGCGTTTGAGCGCAGCAGCAGTCTGGTGGCAGGCTCTGTGCATGAGCGGTCGCCGGCAGGACGACGCTGCTGCAGACTGCGATACCGTGCGATACCGTGCGATACCGTGCGATGCCCTGCGACGCTCGCATTGTGGTGCTGAGGTCCGCGCCGAGAAATCGTTCCCGCCAGGCTGTGATGGGCTAGAAGGACGCTGGCACGCTGCGAAGGCCATCGCTCAGACAACCACGGTCCCGAAATAGCATTGCTGCGGGGATCGGGGCTGCGCCGTGGGCCGCCAGTTCGCCTCCCAATTCGCTGGTGCTTTTCTCTGCCATCCAGGGGCTGCTTGTCCCTCTCCTTCACCCACACGCAGCCAGCCTGTGTTTGGACGCCTAAGTCTTGTTTTCGACGTCGCTCGTTCTGTGCCACTGCGCCTGCCACCATCGTTCGTCGCGCCTGCGCCCACAGGTGCGTCCTCACCTTTCGCTACTGCCGTGCAATCCAGCCCTGTGCTGCCAAATTCTCCCCAAACATCACCTGCTACGCCGCTCGCTGTCCGAGGCCCTACGCCTCACACCTCGCCCGGCCTCCCATTTCTGACGCTCGTTTGCCCGTGGGTCTGCCACCCTCTGCTGAGGCCGTGAGCTTTGTTCGTGGTCAGGGCGACTTCGCCAGACGGCCGCTTGACAGGTGGGCAGCCCTCGCTTTTACAGGAACAAGCCTTGTTTGAGGAATTTGACTGACCCTGCATTCCTTGCAGCATCATGTCTCTACCACAGCGGCCCAACGCTACTTCCCCGAAGCACGACCAGCGACATGTCTACCGAGACTCTCCCTCGCGTCGCCGGCGGCCCTCCGACCTCGAAGGCCGCCACCAGTCCAGCTCTTCCTACCCGAAACCTCCTCCATCGCCAGGAACTCCAGGAACGCCCGGCCAGCGAGATCGAGATCGAGATCCGATCATGTCTGCACAAAGGGGCGGGGGAAGCAGTGATCTGGGGAGGAAACGCAGCCTCATCAGGCCGGAGCGCAACCGTATTGATCCCGACCACCCTAATTATTACTACCGAAAACATGCCCAAAACATGGCTGTACAGCCTTCAACAACCGGAAATGAGCCAGCGATGGAGGATCCCATTGAAGCCGAGACCATCAGCTCCGAAAGCACGTACATGAAACCGGCACAGCACGCCCACCACAACTCCTCGGCCCAATACACCGACAAGTCTGCTCCCTTGGACGATGACACTTTCTTCGAAAGCCGCCCACAGCGGAAACTCACAAGAAGTAAGACCATGGAGAATCTCGAAAAGCAGCGTCAGAAGGACAGAGACTCTGTGCGGCCACCCAGTCTTTGGAATGTCTACTGTGCCGTTATCACCTTCTGGGCCCCCGATGCCATTCTGCGCTGTTTCGGAAAGGTGCAGAAGGCACAGCAACGCGCCTGGAGGGAAAAGATGGGCCTCGTCAGTATCATCCTCTTGATCTGTACATTCGTCGGATATCTCACCTTCGGCTTTACCGCGACGGTATGCCCGAATGGAGGAGGGGAACGATTGAGAATCAACCATGTCGACGCAGGATTCATGATTATCCACGGTCAAGCATACGATCTCGCTGAGTCTCAGCATCCATGGGTCAGGGGCATTCCCGAAAACGCCAATGTTCTCTTCGACTTGCCCGAGAAGCATGGAGGACAGGATGGAAGCTTCCTGTTCCAAAATGTCAATGGTGCCTGCAAAGGTTTGATCACTCTGGCTGATGGTTCTGACGTGCCGACAAACGACAATAAGGATCTGGCCTGGTACTTTCCCTGCAATACATTCAATCAGGATGGATCCAGTAAACCTAATATGTCATACCCTTATTATTTGGGTTACGCATGCCACACTTCTGCCAAGTCTCGCGATGCTTTCTGGGATCTCTCATCAGCCGGTGACGTCTTTTTTACCTGGGACGACATCAGAAACTCAAGCAGAAATCTGATGGTATGGGGCTCAGACGTACTGGACCTGGATCTTCTCAACTGGTTCAACAAAACCCAGGTCAACATCCCGTCTAAATTTGATGAGATCCGGACCAATCCTGCGGTTCGCGGTATAGATGTCACTCGGTCATTCTCCTCGAGCTACGAGAAGCAAGTTGCGCGATGCTTCACCGAGATCATCAAGGTCGGATCCATTGATACGGCCACAATCGGATGCATTGCCTCTAAGGTCGTCCTCTACGTTTCGCTCGTATTCATTCTCGCTATCGTTATTGCCAAATTTATTTTAGCGCTTTCATTCCAGTGGTTTCTCAGCAAGAAATTCGCAGCTGATAAAACCTCACTTGGGGCGGATTCAAAGAAGAGAAAACAACAGATTGAAGAATGGAGTGATGATATTTATCGCCCCCCGCCAAAGCTCAACGACCCTGCCGGTACTCCTGATAGGTCTAGCAAACGCGGTAGCCAGTTCTTCCCAACCCAGTCCAGGTTCACCAGCCCTTACGCAGTCGAGAAGTTGTCAGCAAAAAACCGCCCACCTCCAACTACCATGACGAGTCAAAGTTCCACTGCTCGTCTCCTTTCCGCGAATCCAATGTACAGCAGAATCAACAATAGTCAAGGCACTTTACCAACCTTTGATGGGAAGACGTCAATGGGTGAGAGCAGATCTAGTGTAATGCTTTCAGGGACCACCGAACAAAGATACTCAAGCGCGATGGGCGAAAGTGAAGGCCCCGGCCCCGCCGGATTCATTCACGAAGCTGTTGTTCCTCAACCACCTCCGGAATGGCAACCTTTCGGCTACCCGCTAGCTCACGCAATTTGTCTCGTTACCGCCTACTCTGAAGGTGCTGATGGTCTTCGAACAACTCTAGACTCAGTTGCTGTTACGGATTACCCAAATAGTCATAAGCTCCTCCTAGTCATCTGCGATGGTATGATCAAAGGCAAAGGAGAGGAGCTGTCAACTCCAGACATCGCCCTTGGCATGATGAAGGACCACGCCATTCTCCCGCATGAAGTTCAGGCGTTCTCATACGTCGCTGTAGCTAGCGGGTCGAAGCGACACAATATGGCTAAGATCTACTCTGGATTCTACGATTACGGTGACAACTCTTCGATCCCCATCGAGAAGCAGCACCGCGTTCCAATGATGGTGGTTGTCAAGACGGGAACTCCGGACGAGGCTAAGAAGAGCAAGCCTGGAAACCGCGGCAAGCGAGACAGCCAGATCATCTTGATGTCATTCCTGCAGAAGGTCATGTTCGACGAGCGTATGACGGAACTCGAGTTTGAAATGTTCAACGGTATCTGGAAGATTACTGGCATATCGCCCGACTTTTACGAGATTGTGCTCATGGTGGATGCCGATACAAAGGTGTTCAACGACAGCTTGACGCACATGGTGTCGGCAATGGTCAAGGACCCCGAAATCATGGGACTTTGCGGCGAAACCAAGATTGCCAATAAGCGAGAGTCGTGGGTGTCGATGATCCAGGTGTTTGAGTAAGTTTATTGGACGGGCGTGCGAGGGTGTCACTGACGATGCTAGGTACTTCATCTCCCATCACTTGTCAAAGTCGTTCGAGTCAGTATTCGGCGGTGTAACCTGTCTGCCCGGGTGCTTCTGCATGTATCGCATCAAGGCTCCCAAGGGCGGGCAAAACTACTGGGTCCCGATCCTGGCCAACCCGGATGTGGTCGAGCATTACTCGGAAAACGTGGTGGACACGTTGCACAAGAAGAATCTGCTTCTTCTAGGCGAGGACCGATACCTGTCGACATTAATGCTGAAGACGTTCCCCAAGCGGAAGCAGGTGTTTGTTCCGCAGGCCGTGTGCAAGACGACGGTGCCTGAGAAGTTCAGCGTGCTCCTCTCGCAGCGCAGGCGATGGATCAACAGCACGGTCCACAACCTGATGGAGCTAGTGCTTGTGCGTGATCTCTGCGGCACTTTCTGCTTTAGCATGCAGTTTGTCGTGTTCATTGAGCTGGTGGGGACGCTCGTCCTCCCAGCTGCCATTGCTTTCACTCTTTACCTCAGTAAGATGACGAGTCACCTTTTACATATCACGTGCTAACCGTTCGTAGTTGCGATCTCGATCAAGGCGGCCATCGAGCACACCGCGGCGCCCGTGATCCCTCTAGTCCTGCTCGCGCTCATTCTAGGTCTGCCGGCGGTTCTCATTGTCCTGACAGCACACCGGTGGTCGTACGTGGCGTGGATGCTGGTCTACCTCTGCTCGCTACCGATCTGGAATTTTGTGCTGCCGACGTACTCGTACTGGAAGTTTGACGACTTCAGCTGGGGCGACACGCGCAAGACGGCGGGGGAGAAGACGAAGAAGGGGGGCCTGGAGTATGAGGGCGAGTTTGACAGCAGCAAGATCACGATGCGACGGTGGCATGACTTCGAGGCCGGTAAGCAAACCCTGGTGCGTGTCCGATGCTGCAGTCGCTGACGGTGGGAACACAGAACGCAGGCTCAAGGCGCCGAGCGGAGGCAACGGGTGGTCGCAGCAGTCGACGACGGCGGGCACCTGGCCCCTGCAACAGCATGGAAGCGACTCGTACTTTGAGAACTGAGGTCCCGGGCCTGGTGGCGTCGGGAGGCGAAGACAGCACGGACGGGAGAGGAGCCGCGGAGGGAGCTGTCGCATTACTGTATTACCGTGGCCGTGGTTGTTCTGCATTGCTCGGGGTTATGTCTGCATTGATAGGCCTGGGCGGCGTTTTTGGATCCCTGTAGATGGAGGTTCTGCTCGGCAGCCCCTGTACAGCGGGCGCGTCTTTTTCAATGGTAATGGGTGCTAGACGGCTGCTGTGCCTGTGCCGTGATGCATCGTGATGCGCTGGAGTGATGTGAGGCCGCCGCTCTACTGGGTTGTTACCTCGTCCGGCTGGGGTGCTGCCTGACGTGCGGGGCATGGAAAAGGTGGTATTTCAATCCTACAGCAAGCTGTCATGTGTGTACATCTATCTACCACTGCGTGGGGTGCTTCAATGCATTTCCAGGAATCCGATAGAACCCCTTCGCTTTGGACTGTGTGGAAACTCGTTGAAGCACCCCAGACAGTGGCAGACGGGTGCACAGACGAGCAGAGTACGTGATGAGTGCCGCTTTTTCCACGCCCAGCGTGCCTGAGTCCACGGCCTGCGAACCAGGCGTCAGAAGTGACGACGGCCAGCGGGCGGCTCGGGCAGGGAATCGGCTGGGTGTGTTTTGAGACGTGTCACCAACACAGAATCACGGTCGACCGGGCTTCAGCTGCAAAGAGTGCTCAAAGAGGCTGGCAGTCGGTGCTGGCACTCGCTTCGACCAGTTGGAGTCGTCGCACAACGCGGTTTGAACAGCAGAGGCCCTGTGACCGGCTGCTTTCGTCGAGGCGCTGATGTAGGATGTGATGTATCGCGCTCACTCCTGGCGTGCGAAGTGTGGAGGAGCTGCTCGTGGACTGTCCTACTTCGTACCGACCGAGGCCGAGCTCCCGCCTCTTTTTTACTCCACCACCTCCACACCTGGGCACCGTGATACAGAACACGGTGGTGCGCCGTTACCGACCACGTTGTCCACACTCCCTGACCGACTCGACTGGGCCATGAAACGAGCCCGCCATCGGACTCAGCGCCCACCAACACTGCACACCTGACGCCGCGAGCCTGCCGACTGGAGACGCCGAGAGACTCGTCTCCGACTTCAATTCGCCCTTCGCTGCCAGTCCATACAAGGCCCCCCACTGCAAGTCCCTCCGTTGCTGCACGTAACTACTACCCGCCAGTCCCGCGCACAGGCGCTGACACGCTGCAGCCTCTCCGAGCCGCAATCTTGGACATATTGGGCGACATCGCATCCGGCATATGAAAGCTCCGCCAATACCGCGGGACGAATATCAAAGCCTCAACATCTGCACACGCCCCTCGCCGCTCTCGCTTCAGTACGCTCTGCTGGATGCACCACTCCGTCGGCGCGAGCTGGAGACATCTCCCCGCAAGCATCACCCATATCGTCATCGATCATGCCCCCATCTGCCCATGCTCCCGAAGTCGCCATGGACAACCGGCCGACAGGCCTAGAGGAGGAGGATGAAGAGTCTGACCGTGAGGACGATTATGACGACGGAGTTTCCCTCGAAGCCGCTCCCCCGAGCGCCCCTTCGATCAACGACCTCATCGATGCTATGGAGTGGCAACCGCCTTCTCAGATAGAGCAAACTGAGTCGCTGCCATCTTCACATACTCACGATTCGAACTGGCCCGTAGACTATCCCAACCCTTTCGGTAGCATGGGCTCATTGAATCCTCAAGCTAGTGAGGGCCTACTACCGTACTTGACCACCTCAACAGCCTCGATGATGCCCACTATCATGGCAGCCGCTCTCGGCGATGCTGATTCACTGCAACAGTACTCCCAAATGTCGGATTTCGAGGATGCACTGGAAGATGCGCTCGGGCTCCCCTCCGTCAGTGACCACCAGGCTGTCATCGATGTGTGCAAGTTCATCGACGACTGGGCCATCGTGGGTGGATTGAAGGCAGGTCTCGACATGATTGGCCTAGAAGCTTCTCGGGTACGAGACTGGAAACGGCCGGCTGAAATCACGAAAGACGAACTACAAGGCGATCGATATGATATTCAAGGCATCAATTGGGAGGAACTCGATACAACGAGGGAAAAAGCTAGGGCAGCAAGGCTGAGGCTGTCGACTCGGAAGGCCACTCCACCACCACCGGTGAGCACTTCCCTTCTGCCCTGTACATCGAATCTCTGCATACTTAGCTATAGTCCCACCATCGCTACCTCACAATCACGCTCTATCATGTTTATTACCCTATGCGATTCTGCTTGTGATTCTCTGATTCAACACCTGCACTCCCACGCGCCATTCGAACGCCCTGGGCATCTCTGACTTGATTAAAATAGGGAACATCGGCCACCAAGCTACCCAGTTCCGAGAACTACTTCCGCTTTCGCAAAATGAATACAACACACCGAATCTCCGTAGCACATTTCCAGCTCCGGAACCTAATAGCAGCAATCTCGAGGAGCGACATATTTTATGCCAGCAAATCAAAAGTCATGCACACCGATGCATCAGGCCAAATGAATAAGTGCGCAATGGAATTGACTAAGCCAATGGGAGATTCTATGCACCCGTCTTCATTCAGCATCACCACTCTGACGGCTTCCGATGAAGTCCTGATCGCTGGTGGCTTTTACGGCGAATACGCACTAACTAATCTCCGATCAGAAGTAGGAGAACCACACGTCCAAGGCTACGTAACACACGAGTTCAACGGCATCACCAACCATGCTCACACCTTCGACTCTCGTAGCAGCGGCCTACCCCAAGGCGTGTTCTGCTCCAACGACCACTGCCTCCGTATCCTCGATTGCACCACCAACACCTTCACCCACGAGTTCCGCTACAAGCAAGCCATCAACTGCTCCGCTACGTCCCCCAACGGCCGCATGCGTGTAATAGTTGGTGACTTCGACAAAGCCCTCATCACCGACGCCGAAACTGGCAGGCCCTTCGAACACCTCCCCTCCCATACCGATCACGTCTTCGCCTGCGCCTGGGCCGACGACGGCATCCACGTGGCCACTGGCTCACAGGACCACAAGATCGTCGTCTGGGACGCTCGCAGATGGGACACCCCTCTCGCTACTTTCGCCTCCGTCATGTCTTGCCCGCGCTCACTCCGCTTCTCGCCGGTCGGAGGTGGCCGTCGCGTTCTCTTCGCCGCGGAAGCCGAAGACATCGTCTCGGTCTTCGACGCATATGACTTCGACAAACGTCAAGTCCTCGACTTCTATGGCGCCACGGCCGGCATCAGCGTCACGCCAGACGGGCAGAGCCTGTTTGTCGCGAACGGCGACGGCAAGTTTGGCGGTCTCATGGAATTCGAGCGGTGCCAGTTTGCGGAGCCGTGGGGGCTTGGGGAGCCGCGGAGGTCGTGGAAGGGGCATCGGATACGGGAGGAGCGTTTTCCAAGGGGCGCGTGGGAGTGGATGGCCACCGAGGATCTCGATGATGACCCGAGGGTCGTCGGTAGCAGGAAGGCGAGGGAGAGAAGGGGGTTGGGACTGGAGAAGTTGTATGTTTGATTCAAACAGCGACTGAGTGGCGAAGGAAGCGACTGAGCATTTATGCATGCGGGTGTAGGCGTTTGAGCAACCACGACTTTTTCTGCATGCGGTTGTGGGGCGAAACTTCCAAGGAAGTAATTTTTGAGGGGCCTTGAAGGCCCCGGCTTTATATATCTTTGTTCATACCCCCCCTTTTTCGTCATCTTACTTCTTCTATTTGCTCTTCTGAGAGTAACCTCTTTTACGATACCTTTTTCTATTTGCAGGTGTCAAAACTTTTTTGTTCCTGGTTTATTACAGATGTTTTCTCTTTTTCTTCTTCTTGTAGTTCTGTGTTAAAGAGAAAAAGTCCTTTTTTGCTAGATTCGTGGTGAGGTTGCTCTGGGAGCTGCCACCAATTACCTGATTTTTTTTTCTTTTTTTCTTTTTCTTACCGAAAGCTTGAGAAGTAAGTGCCGGAGATGGCGGGTGGTAGAGCGTTCGCGGAGCATGGGAGCATGGGAGCATGGGAGCATGGGAGCATGAGAGCATGGGATAGGTGTTTTGGTTTTTTTTTTCCGCATACGCATACAGGCATTGGGAAGCGGCGTTTTCTGTGAGAACTGTAGGGGCGTGAGCTGGTGGGGAAAAAGGCTGGGGTGTGGATGGGTGGGGCGAGGCTTGTATGCTAGGTAGGCCCCTGGTAGGGGGGCGTTTGTAGAAAATAGAGAAGTGGTGATTTTAAGCATCGAGGATGAAAGGTGTTTGCAATCCTGGGATCCAATAAAGCGTGAAATGTGTGTGAACTTGGGGAATAGGTTACTGACAGTCGACGGAAGCAGAATGCGTAGCGAGGTCAGTGATGTCTGCTGCTTTCTCAGAGACGTTGAAGGAGAGTGTTTGCCAATGCGGACGGCAGAGCCGACATTGTTATTAAGGAACCGTACTCTGTGAAATCCGGAAAGGGGGGCACGCTCCTCCCCTTTATCATCCCGCTTCCATCTCACAACCTCCCCTCTCTGCCCACGCAATTTAGACGAAGAAGCAACGACACATCGCCGCCTCCACCGCGTGCCCTCCGCCTCTACGCAGAAGTCTTTCTCCGCACAGTCAGATCTATAACTCTTTTGCAACAATCACTGGGGCGACGGCCCAGCCAACGCGTGCGTGCCCCTCCCTCCCTCCCTCCCTTAGCGTCAAGCCGGCGAAGGGTGAGGGTTGACGGAAATTGAAAAAAAAAAAAAAAAAACTCAGCGGTTCGATCTGTCACCCATTCTACCATTAACGGGGCGAGGCGTGCGCCAGCCAAAGCGTGTCACCCTCTCGGCGTGTGCGCGTCTGCGTCAGATGGAACAACCGATTCAAGCGGTTCGGTCTGTAACCTTTTTTTTTTTTTCTTGGGATGGCCGATACGTCGCCAACGCGTCCTTCCCCCTCGGTTTGCAGCTCTGCGGTCCTGATAAGAGGTGGTTGAGAAGCCGGGGGTGGGGGTTGGGACCACGGGAGGGGGAGGGAAAGGGGTGGTGGCGATGGGTGGCTGGGAGCCAGTCGGTGCGATTTGAAGGCGGTTTTGGCATGTTGTTGGAAAGAGAGTTGGAATCAGGCCTGAGTACAGAGGTTGGTTTTGGTTGCCGTGAGATGTACAAACGGGAGCCAGTCGGTGCGATTTGAAGGCGGTTTTGGCATGTTGTTGGAAAGAGAGTTGGAATCAGGCCTGAGTACAGAGGTTGGTTTTGGTTGCCGTGAGATGTACAAACGGGAGCCAGTCGGTGCGATTTGAAGTCGGTTTTGGCTTATTATTGCAGAGCACCCCTAAATCAAACCGGAGAATTGGGGTCAAGTTGACATCGTTGAGAAGATATAGCCGGGAGCCGGTCCGTGCGATGAAGACTTAGTTTGGGCATGCTCTTGGCAGAGCTTGTAAATCAGACGGCAGGTGAGATTGTGTGACAGACGTCCTAAATCAGCGCCACTAGCTTGTTACACCGTCCTAGAATCTCTAGATTAGACCCAAGAAAAAGGGTAAGTTTAGCACTGTCAAGATGTATAAACGGGAGCCAGTCCGTGTGATATGCACGCTCTTTTGTCACATTATTGCGAGACGCCTTGAATCAAACCATGAAATCAGAATAACACGATATATTATCGGTAGCCAGTCCGCTGTCCGAACCAGCTCAACCTGGTATATTGCACGCTCGGACGTATCTTGCCCTACCATTCCACTCTGCACCCGACGGCGAATCGTCCGATGCAGTGCCCACAGAACAGACAATGAAGGCTGCTAACAGATAGAAGGAAGAGAAGACCGAAAAGCACATGATCCACCTACCCCTAAACACCGTACTGGCCAGATATACTCAAATATGCAATGCACAAGCCACTAAATCAATCGTAATTACCGTCCTCATCATATCCATCAGACTCTGCCTCCGAGTCCATATTTTCGGGGACAACAATGTACTTGTTCCCATGTTCGTCTCTCCTAACAGCATCGTCGTCTTCTTCATGCACTAGATCTCCAACCTCTCCACTCTCTCCTATGATCTCTTTCGCCCGCTCCTCATTGACTTTCATGTCATCTATCACAAGCCGGATTACTAGCTCAGGTAGCAGCACCGACTGCACGAACTTCGACATGCCACCGGACGATATCAGCTTGTCCGTCGGCGCGAGCCTTCGGATCTGCGGTGCAAACGTTTTGGTGATGTACTCCATCATGACTCTTGCGCCCCTCGCGCCATAATACCCCGTCGTCGATTGCTTGAACTCGTCCGTCATGATCGCCGAGAGCAGATTACGGTTACTGCCCGTCCGGACGCTCTGCTCCAGTTTATCCCGATACGCTGACTTCTCTTTGCCCTCGAGCACGGCTTCCAGGTGCGGCGCGTGCTTCCCCATGCGCTGTTCTAGCTTATGCCACACGATCTTAGGATATCCGCGCGCGGCGTAGTCGTCCTCGGCCGATTTCTGCTTATGTTGCCGGCAGAAAACCTGCTGCATGCCGACGTTGAGCTTGAAGTTTTTGCCGTGTTCCGCAGCGAAGGTGTAGAGGTGGGCACCGTCGACGGGTTTGCGGCACATGGGGCAGATGGAGCCAATAGGTTCTGGGGAAGATTCGAGCGGTGGACTGTCAGCTTTGAAGAGGTCGGATTGAGCTTGAGAGGACATTTCTAGTATTGAGGAATTGGGCGAGCTGAGGGGGGAGCTCGAGTTAGAACGTTGAAGTGATGCTTGTAAGTCGTGCGCGGCTTGTGTGGTCTTGAAGAGTACAGCGGGCATTGTTTCGGGCATCCGGAATGCCATCTTTGGTATTGCGGGAACGATGGGTTCTGACGGGTTCTTGTATCCCGGTGCGGGAGGTCGAGTCCTGACACTGCTGAGTTTGGGCATTTCAGGCCTTATCCATTCATCCTTTTTCGTATCTCTTTTTGGGTTCATCAGGTCAACCTTAGGATTTTTGAAACCCTCTTTCTTAGTTTTAGGAGACGGTGCAGATAGTGCGGAAGTATTCTTGAAGCCTAGTGGTATCGAATTAGCGCTACGAAATTGATAGCTTTCGTTGTCGGAAACTCACCAGGCTTGCCTAGTCCCTTACCCTTAGCCCTAGACTTGTGGTGGATGTTCATAGCCGGCCCTATATTCTTTCCATAACTTGACATAACCCTCTTTCTTGCCCTCTGACTACCCATTTCGCCAAAGTCATCCAAGGAACTATCGTCCTCTGGTTTGATTACTCCAGACATCTTTCCTGTCGAGCCCTGCGATCCCGTGGCCCTCCTAGGCCCTTTCCGAACTTCTGGCATCCCGAACTCATCCACGGTATCATTGTCGTCCGCACCGAGTTCTGCGGACCTCTTCCTCGGTGAACCTTGTGATCCTTTCTTAGGGTATTCTTTCGCCTTAATTTCTTTTGCGCTTTCGTCCTGACCCTCCTTCCTAATGGTAGTATATGTCGCCCGTCTCTGGGGATATATAGGGCCTCGGTTTTGAGCAGTTGGCAGCGAGGGCGGGGGTCGTGCCGGCGATGAGGGTCGCTCATCGCTTGAGCTGACAGGGTCCCCATATATCGGATCCTTTTCGACTTCTGACGCTTGCATCTCTTGTGATAGAGGAGGAGGGGTTGGAGAGACGATTCGGTGCGCAGTGGGTGAGGACGACCGGTGTCGCGTTTTGAATTGGCTGAGCAGCGATTGACGGGGCTTCTCGCTGCGATACATGATGATGCAAGCTGACACAAGCCATCAGCTTGGGCGGCTGTGTGTGTTGGGTAGTAGGTGGTGTGAAAAGGAATGGATTGACAATGCTTTGGGATAGCTATGGAACGCGTGAGGTTCACCGGGCGCGCATCGAGTCGTCTCACGCCAAGAAATTAGCGCAAGACGAAGTCACATGTCAGAAGCACTTCACCTGTCACTACCATGGGTGTTTGCATATTTCCAAGACTCTTATATCACCCCAATCTGAAACAATGCCCGACCTCCTCTGCTCACGTGATCCTGTGCCGCTGTGGCTGAGGTCGGCTCAGGTCTCCTCAGCTCCGCATCACGCTTGTTCACCAGAATCGTCAAGTTTTAGCGAGGTGCCTTAAATTTGTCCTGGGTTACGAATTACAAGGGGGCTACCTGAGCGGGCTGCCGGCGCTCCCTGCTAGCGCTGGCGTTGTTTTAGCCACAGTAAGCGTATTATAAATCTGCAGAAGCCACCAGAATAGCTAGATAATATAAAACAACGGCAGGGGCCCTTGTATTTTATATCATAAAAATGCCGAATCTTGTACGCCGGAACAATGGCCACCATCCACGGCCAATTCAATATCCTATTCTTCGAGATCCGGGCACCCGTCTCTCCTACCGAGAGCGTGATATTGCTTTCTCCCTCTCTCGATACGCTGGCTGGAATAACCGAAGGATCGGTTCCTCTCTTGGTGTGCCTTACAGAACTATATCCAATGCTCTCTCTCTGCAGAATCCGTGGACCCCTCAAAAACAGAGAGGGAGAAAACCGAATCTTGATACTCCAACTCGACAGCGCCTTATTGCCCGGGCTAAGCTTGGTCGTATCCACCGAAGGAAGCCGTTAGAGGAGATTGCAATGCTAGAGGGGGTCTCTGCCTGCAAGCGATCCCTATATAAGGCATTTGAAAAAGAGGGCTATTTCCAGCGTGTTGCAACAGAGAAGCCCCTTATCACGCCTGAGCAGCGAGAGGCCCGTCTTAAATGGGCCTATTCTCATCTGGAATGGACTCCCGAGATGTGGGCAGCAGTAATTTGGACCGATGAAGCGTCCATTCGAACCGGAGGAGGCCAGATCTTTGTTACTAGGCGTGCTGAGGAGAAATACGATATTGATTGCTGTGTCCCTAAATTTAGGGGGTATTCTAGCTGGATGATTCATGGCAGCATCTCCCATGGGAATAAGGGGCCCTTGGTTGTTTTTGAAAAGGACTGGTCAATTGAGCTGGAATACAAGAGAAAGACGATAAACGGCGACGTCTACCGTACCTATATATGCCCTAATATCAAGACTTTTGCATGGGAATTATGGCAGACACTACGACACCAGCCTATTCTTGTAGAGGATAATGCCTCAATTCACTCAGCAAAAGCGACGCGCCTGGCCTGGGAACAGAACGGCATGCTTGTAATGGAATGGCCGGCGAATTCCCCTGATTTGAATCCAATTGAGAACGTTTGTCGGCTGTTGAAGGGGAGAATACAACGCCGGTTTCCTACAACAAAGGAGGAAGTACGGCAGTACGCTGAGGAGGAATGGGAGAAGCTTGAGCCCGAAGAATTTGAAAAGTATACGGGCAATATGAGGGAGCGTTGCCTTGCTGTAATTGCTGCTGATGGCGGCCCAACGAAATATTAGTTACTGAATAAGCACTGTTTTCATGTGGCGATGTGGCGATTGTAAGCACTAACAGAGACGCTTGCAGGGAGCGCCGGCAGCCCGCTCAGGTAGCCCCCTTGTAATGCTCCCGTACAGCTTTGTAAGCCTTCGAAGCTCAGGCTGCTTTCCAGGATTCTCTACCCATGCCCTTATTAGCACAGACTGTGCCATCTACACAAATGACCGATTTCTCTCTCGCTTTCTCATCTCTTCTTTCATCTCTCCTTGATCCTTCTCCACAAAGTGAGAAAAACATAACGTCTTGGCCACCCGGTCGAGCCAGCCACCCGGTCGAGCCACCCGGTTAGCGTATTGGTGGCGTATGAGGCTTGCAGGGGCAAAGGAGTGAATTGCTATATAAATACATCAAAACTCATTGCCAGATCCTTCCAGGCTAACTTTGCAAAGCGTCCTTTGCCTCGTAGAGCAGCAGCTCTCTCCTTAGCAGTTGAAACCTCCTGATCCTTTGCATTACGCTCTCTCATCTTTTGAAGCGCTTCCTCTACGGTGAGCTGCCGAGCCTCTCCAAAGTGCTTCTTCGTACGGCTCTTTCTGCTCTTCTTCTGCTTCTGCACAAGATCATTGTTTAGAATTTGAAGTGCAGACCTATCAGCAAGAGCAGTTAGAGAGAGATCTTGTAGATGAGTAATGGTGGAATAAAGCTGGAGAGGAACCTCTTTAAGAAGCGCTGCAATGAGCGTATTTATCCTCTTTGACTGATCCTCTGTTGCTTGTATATCAACTCGAACACCATTCTCATTAGTTATACTAATGAAAGGAGGTGTCTTGGCCTGAATTCCTGCAGTACTAATATAGGATTGAAAGGTAGTAGGCCTGTCTTTCTCCATGCACTAGCAATGTTGACTTTTGTGACTGCTTGTCGTATTGCCCGTCAATAGAAGATGGTGAATTGCTCGTTCGAGATGCGCTCTGCCCCGAAGATGCTATGCTCACGAATCTGCTTCTTATATGCCTTCGCAACTGGCGAAAAGATGCCAACATCAAGCGGCTGGAGTATATGGGTTGAGTGAGGTGGCAGGCAGAGAGCAATGATTTTTGCATCTTTACAATACTGTATGAACTCAAGAGATGTATGCAAGTTGTGGCCATCGAGAATTAAGAGCCGATACACTCAGGTTGCAGCACTACAACCTAGGATCAACAACTCATATGCCAGAAAGCTACTCTCCGAA